TTTTTATTTTATTCCATTTTTATTTTTATTTTTATTTTGTTTATTTACTTTCCCCTTTTAATTTCCTACAGCTCTTAGGACCCCTTTTTTATTTTATTTATTTATTTTTTTTTTTTTTTGTTGTGTTTTTTCTTTTTGGTAAAATTTTTTGTTTTTTTTTTTTTTTTTTTTTTTACACATAAAATATATATTTTTAAGTCTATGGATTCTTATGATTTTTTTTTAATCAGTTAAACTGAAAATGCTTTGGCAACTAGCTAAAATAGCACAATAAAATAAAAATATGATCAGTTAATGTTTATTTAATTTCAAGTTTTAAAATGATTTATTTATTGTTTACTGTAATAACTCTGCCCTCTCGTAATTGTCAAGAAATATTTTTTTTTTTTTGAGTATTTGGTTCTAGAAAATTAAAAATGGTTCTTCTGACCATTGATTTGGTTCTAAAGGAACACTGCTAGTGTTGTGATTGGTTGCCGGGAGTTGCTACTAATGATCTATTTCTCAGTTAAAGTCCATCAGTTTGAGACGGTTGCGTGAGGATGTTGATCGTGACGTGGGATCAGAGGGAAGTGAAGACAGGCTCACATGTACAAGATCATATCCAGATGCGGTGTCTGTTGAATTGTTGTTTTTGTAGTCTGATACTGCTGTCTATATGTTTCACTTCATCCTTTACTAGTGTCATTATGAGCTCCATCATGGATTTGTCTGTGTAATCTAGATATTGCATTTTATCGTTGTTCTTCGTTTTTACTCGTGACTCAAATGCTGTAGTCTTTCAAACATAAGCATAAACTCTCACATTACACAAACACTGAGTTCAGGTTTCCTATAATCGTAGTAAAGTAAAGTCAGTCTTAAACTATGCATAGTCGTTATCTGAGTGTGATTTACAGCTCGGCTGTTGTTTTGCTGTCTGGTGTCATTTCTCCTCTTTGCTCATTGCACTCTGAGAATAACAGGAAAGACTCACTCACTGTCCTCCACATCAGTTGTTGTATCATACAGCAGTTTATTCCATCCGTGCATCCCGGTGTTTCACTGCAGGAGTTTTGTGTTGCAAGTTGTGCTATTCTTTGCAATAACATGCTCTGGTAAATCATTTGCATTTAAAGGAATAGTAAAAAAGAAAGAAAAATGCTGAAAGTGTGCTCACCCTCAGGTCATTCAAGATTAGGATGAGCTGGTTTCTAAATCAGATTTGGAGAAATGTAGCATTGCATCACTTGCTCAGCAGTGAATGGGTGCCGTCAGAATGAGAGTCCAAACTGCTGATAGAAACATCACAATAATCCACAGCACTCCAGTCCATCAGTTTATGTATTGAGAAGCCAAAAGCTGCGTGTTTGTAAGAAACAAATCCATCAAGACATGTTAACTTCAGTCAGGAGAGAAATCTGCACAGATCAAGTACTGTTTACAAGCCAAAAGTCCAAAACAGTCGTATTTTAGCCGGAAGCCACAGTTTAAAACATCTTAATGATGGATTTATTTCTTACAAACACACAGCTTTTGGCTTCACAAGATATTAACTGATGGACTGGAGTGGTGTGGATTACTTGTGATGTTTTTATCAGCTGTTTGGACTCTCATTCTGACGGCACCCATTCACTGCAGAGGATGCATTGGTGAGCAAGTGATGCAATGCTACATTTCTCCAAATCTGATGCAGAAACAAACTCATTTAATGACCTGAGGGGGAGCAAATGTGCATTTTTGGGGTTAACTATTCCTTTAAGGCCAGGAACATGCTTTAAAGTAATTTTGATTTCATGTTGACAGGTCTGTTTCTAGCTGTTCAGTTTATGAGAGAACCAGTGCCAGACCACAAGCTCTTAAAGGTCTCATTTATTTCTTTTTAACATTCTCATTCAAGTCACACACGTTCTCCTGTCTCCCACCCTTCGAACACACACACACACACACACTCACACACCTCCCTCAGCACATAAACTGCTTTTGTTTCAGTGGAGTCCTGGGTTGGTTGTCAGGAGGAAGTCAAATGGCAGCGCATGGAGACAGTAGACGGACAGAGACGTCAGTGAGCGTGAGTGAGAGGAGGTTCACAGATCAGACTGCAGTTTGTCTCACTCACTTTGAGCCTGTTGGGTTCATCAACCTGCTGTTTGTTTATCTAGATTTTGAGGATTGCAGGATATTGTTGAAATGCAAACAGAAACATCAGAAACGGAAAGTTGCTTTTTGTTTAGCAGGAAGTTTGGTGCTACATGTGGTGTTTGGTTTCACACGGTTTCAGACAGATGACAAGAACAGGAGGAATGAGGCCATCACTCGCAACCCAGCAATAAATTAGATGTCTGACCCAATTTTATTGCTGGGTGATTTGACTAGTGTAATTATTCATATAATTCATTTCAGTTCAGTTTCAATAAATCAATTCAGAACTCAATGATTTACTCCAGAATATTTGCAGAAGTGCGTGCATAGCATTTTTCATCAATTAAAATTTTTAGTAGCAATATATGGAGATAAAGAATGCTTATGGCTATGAATTGTTATATTGGTGCAAATTAATGTAAATGATTAACTATAATCCTTCCTTCTGTCCATTTAGTGAAAAAAGGGTTAAAACATTCCCTGATTTATTTTTAGGTATTTTACTGTGTTTTTACTTTTTTTCCCCTGCATTTATTCAAACTATTAAGTTACTAGTCAAAAGTGGCCGTTTTATTTTATTTATATATATATATATGTGACCACAAAACCACAAAATTGAGATTTATACATCATCTGAAAGCTGAATAAATAAGCTTTAGCATAAACTAAAAATGAACAAAAAATTTCTTTAAAGAAATGGTAAATTGCATGCATCGCGCACACACAAAAACTTGTGTTGCTTTTTATGTTCTGCCAAGATAGCCATGCATATATATGATTAAATGTTAAATACAAAACACCTATAGTTTAAAAAAAAAAAAAATCAAGGAAGGTTATCTTTATCACTTTTTTCCACTAAACAGACACAAAGAACAATTGTAGTTAATCATTTTCATTCATTTGCACCAATATAACAATTCATAGCCATAAACCGCACTCTTTCTCTCCATACATTGCTTCTAAAAACATATGCATGAAATACATAAAAAAATGCCGCCTTCTGTAAACATTTTGGAGTAAATCATTGATTTCTGAATCGATTTATTTAACTGATTTGTGGAAATGAACTGAACTCTTAACACAACCATTTTTGCTGCGTAAGTTTAAATGAGAGCTGCAAATAAATGCCTACAGCATAGTTTTTCAGATGAGCTTCTATGATGTATTCTTCAGAATGCATTTCCACAACAGCATCAAGTGTGATTGAAAAGAGCAAGACGAATGCTGTGACTCCTTTAAATAGTGTTGGACCTATTTTTCAATAGCTATACATTTTATCGAAATACTTACCTGACACACAAATGCAGATTGTTATTTATAGAAATGTAGTATTTTCCAATCCATGAATAGTAGTTTCTCATAGGAAGTTGGGTGGGCCGAATCTTCGTTAAGCAGCCTTATAATTAGGAGGGTTTGGCCTGCGGTTAAATTAAAAGCATCTCGTTCCGCTTACGCCTGTGTGAGCGCTTGGAGAGTATGGATTTAGAAGGTTTAACAATTTTGTGCATTGACCACAACACTGAAACAGCTGATATGTACAGCAGATTCTTCTCCGTTATGTAACCGAAACCTCTCAGTTTGTATTTACTGTCATTCATAATCATCAGCTTCTGCGCTGAAAGTGTCCAGACGCACGCCTCATGTTTGATTCACGATGCAGAATTTACTCTATTTACTACAGAATTGATCATATTCAAAGAAATGTGGCTGTCCATGTTGCTTGGATGCTTTTTTTGTTCTTTCCATAAAAAGCAACATAAAATTGGTCTGTAAGACTTCAAAATATCTGTTTTTTGTGTTTTAAAAAAAAAAAAGTGATATGATTTTTGGATTGACTTGAGAGTGAATAAATGTTGAATTTTCATTTCACTGTTGATTTTCAGTTCATGCAACCAACATTTTTTGGTTGATGATTTGCTTTACTCTGCTTGCAGGCTTAAAGTTTTGTAAGTGGTGCTATTCATTGTTATAGGTTGAAAATGTTTTACTTAGTGCAACTTTAGTTTTTGGGCTTTTAGATGATGAAAGGAATTTTTCAAAGTTGTTTGGACGTCTTTTCTAAAAAAGCAGCATAACTATCTGTGGTTTTGGAGCAGGTCTGCTGTGCCGCTGTTCTTGAAAGGTTAACCATAGAAAGCACAAACCAGCCTTTTGCCACATGTACAGTTTTCCTCTAATGTGTGAAGCCTGCGTGTTTTTCTCCTGACAGGCTGTAGTTCAGTTTAATCACAGGTTCAGAAATACGAGCTGCTT